AATTTAGATAAAATTATTTTTCTAATAAAAGAACATTTGCATAATGTTTAATTTTAATAAGTTTGTTTTGTAAAGAGAACTGTTGATGTAAATTAAAAAATTTTGGTAACCATAGTTTACAGTGAAGACTGTAAAATAATTTTGAATGATTTGCCAGTTTTCTGTCTGACAGTGGGTCATATTTATTAGCAGATCCAAATATATGTTGCTCCTTTTAGACTTTAAGAAGCTTAAGTACACACTTAGACGCCATCCTGGGACAATGGCTACAGGAGCTACTTTAGCATTAGAACATGGCCACTACTGTCTCATGGGAGGGTCGGGTGAGGCCACTGCTAACTCTGAGCTAGAATTTATCTCACCATAAAAAGCTAATCCTCACAAAGCCACAGCTGCAGTCTGTCTTAGGGGTTTCTGATGCTCCCTTAGAGAACTCCACTCTCATTAGCACACCCAGGCTATGACCCATGACATGATACATGGCCAGTACCAAGAGAAAGCAATGCATATTATGAAGCTCGTTGTTCAACACACTGAACTGTCCATCTAACTATTTATATGCTGGCCCCATACAGATGACCCACCTGTGCTGGCTAGTTTTATGACATAAGCTAGAATCATATGAGAGGACAGAATCTCAATTGAGAAAATAAGATCAGGCTGGAGCCTGAAGGGCATTTCTTCATTAGTGATTGATAGGGTAGGGCCTGTCTACTGCCTCTGGCTGGCGGTTCAGTTTTATAGGATACAAGGTGTATTCTAAGAGATTCATATAAAGTCCCTCACAGAATTGGGAAGGGACAAGTCCCCCCCAGAGCACAGGAGAAGTGGGGGGGCAGCTAATGGAGAGAGAAGTAGGAGAAAACGAGGGGGAGGAAAGGAAAACACGTGCGACCAGGAAGATTGAGCCCGGTTAGGAATAGAAGACAGGAGGGAGAGGGAGAAAAAGAGAGAGAGAACATAAAAGAAGGAGCCAATATTGGTTTGAAGATAAAATTGAACACAAAGAAATGTCTAGAAAACTACAAGACTGCCACCAACTAACAATTTGAGCATCAGTGGAAAGGCTACCATAAACGCCCTTCCCTGAGAGTGAGATCAACAACTAACTTATCCATGGAGCCCTCAACTAATGCCTGTTGGAAACAGGAGCAAACACCCATACATAAGCACTGAGTTTAAGTAGAACTCAGATGCAGATGGAGAGGACAAGGCCAGGCGGCAGAAACACATAGAGACAGCTTACCTGAACAAGGAGGAGCTAACGGGCCACCAGACTGATAGCTGGGAAGCCAGCATGGGACTGACTCAGGCCCCCCTGAATATGGGTCTCAGCCAGAAGGACAGAGCAGTCTAAGGGACCTCAGACAGTGGAGCCAGGATGTATCCCTGGTGCACAAAAGGACTTTTCGAAAACATACCCCATGGAGGGATAACTGCCTTAACCTAGACACAGAAGAGAAGTCCTAGTCCCTACTTCACATGACCTGTCAGATCTACATGACCCCAACTGGATGGCATTCCCCTACATATGGAATTGGGGTGGGGGGATGGGAGGGGAGGGTGGTTAGGGTGCATGTGAGAGGGCAGAGAGGGTAAAAGGGAGGGAAGAAAGGAGGGAGGAAGGGAGGGAGGGAGGGAGGGAGGAAGAGGGAACTGGGATCGACATGTAAAATAATTAAATTAAAAAAAATGCTTTGACTCCAAAATTTAAGTTCAAGGACAAGTTACTGGGGAAAAGGATTTCTATTTTTGTTTCCACAGAAAATGAAAAGCTGTGGATTCCTTCCAGACTAATGTAGTTTGATCAAGCCAGACCACCTGAAACAAGAGTACCAGGTGATCCTACATTCAAAACAGCTGGACAAAGCAGCCTTACAGACTACAGCCAGGATTTCTGCATCTTCTTAGAATCCCCCATGACAGCGCCCCTTACCAGCAGGAAATAGTTTGGAAAGAATGACGCCAAATTCCCAAAGATTGTCTATAAATGTTTGTTTTCATTTAAATGGAAAAAAAAGAAAAAAGAAAGTGGCTGAACAAGCCACGGATAACAAGCCAGTAAGTTGCGCTTCTCCATGACCCCTATATTAGTTCCTACCTCCAGGTTCCCGCCCTGCTTAATCTCTTGCCTTCACTGCTTTTGATGATGGACTGTTGAACATAACTGAGTGAAATACTCCCCGGAATCCCCCAAGCTGCTTTTTGGTCATGGTGTTTCACTATAGGAACAGTATCCCTAAGTAAGACCTTACCCAATGGTTTTTGGAGTTTGAAACAGAAATTCAAGAAGGAATTCCCAAAGCAAATCCACAACTTAGCCCTGTCCCCGTTGTAAGCCACTCTACCCACAATGGCCTTGGTCCATGTGGACCTGGAATCCTAACAACCTCCACAGCCAGTCCTCCTCACCACTACCTGCTCCCCTATCAGCCCCTTCACCAACTTCAACAATCTGTGATAGGACAGCTTGGTGTCTTAATTATTAACCCCATTTCTATTAATTCTATTCTATTAATTGATATTAATATTCTATTAATTCTGTCTTAATTATTAACCCCATTTCTATTAATCTAAGTATTTCCACATGGTCTCATCTTATGGGAGAGTGGGCTGGTGTTCTTCTCTCTCCAGTCTCTCCATGTTGACTCTTCCTTACTACTTCCTCGAATCCTCCTTGTCTCCTAGTCCCGCCTATCTTGCTTTCCTATTAGCCAACAGTGCTTTATTCATTAACCAGTATGAGAAACATATTTACAGACTGACATCTCCCATCGTATCTTTTCTGTTTAAAATAAAGAGTTTTAAGATTCACAGTTAACAATATTTAGTCCATTTACATTTAGTAAGATTTAAGAAAATATTTCATCATCTATTCTATCTTTGTGAGTCTAAAGTCCTATATGTAATTTATCTTTAATCCTAACCAAGGAAAACTATAACCATAACTATCTGTCTTCAACTCCTAAAAGACCACAGAAGGATAGTATACAAACTCTAGAAATAGATTGAGCTGCTCCAACCTATCTTGGTTCCAGCCTCCACATCTGCATTCCTGTGATCTAGGCATCTGTGCTAGATCACCATGGTGTTTATAGTACAGATAACAGATGTCAGCTTTGTCAGCTGGGTGTTTGGATCTTTGTCAGGTTGTGAGTCAGTCAAATGGTGCTTGGTTTCCATTTTTGGGGCCACTGGGGTTTTGGGTTCAGACTTTAAATGGTACCAGATCGATATAATGGGTAGGGTAGTTGATAGTTAAGTCCTGGCCGGCAGGGAAAAAAACCATACTCCTTACATGAGGCACTTAAATTCTCAGCATGTCAAATAAACCCCCTTTGTTAGTCAGCAAAGGGATTTACCTGACTAGCTTACAAGATACAGGTTTGTCCTATAGTGGCTGTATGCAGGCTGGAGAGGCAGAAAACCTGGCAGCTGCTGAGTCCAAGGCTGGATGAGAATACCAAACCCATAGAACAAGTGTGCCCCTCTTCCTCCAGAAGCCTCTAAATCAAAGCAGCGTTTCAGGTCCCCTAAATCAATATACTCTTCTCAAAATGAAAATTTCTAGGTAGCGGAGCCCTGAGGACTTCAATAGAAATCCAGGCTTACCAGTGCTCAGTTTCAGTCCTACCTTGCATCAATGTCCAGGGCTCTCAGCAGGTGACTAGGAGAGCAAAAGTGTAGCACTCCGTCAGCGACCCTAACACGTCTGTACTTGAGACTCAGACAGCGCTGACTGCTGACTGCAACTTTATCTCAGGTAACCAGCCCTGCTTCCGGATGGACTATATAGGTCTCAGAGTATCCACTGAAGCAACCTGGAAAGATCTACAAATGGTCACATGGTACTAATGAGAGCTGATATTGTTATACTTGATGAATGCCTTTCTTTGATGTGACCAGAATGTAGAGACCTTTCAGAGGATCACTGATAATAACTAGCTGTTTTGAAAACTGTCAACAAACTTGAGACTTCCACATTAGAACTCTCCAACATCAATTGGAAGACAATAAGCAAAGTGATTCATGTTTATTAAAAAGCATAAATATTCTAAATAATTGGGGGGGGTGAACACACTTGTGACTTAAATTTTGCTTAGTTTTTCTTTCTTTTTTTGTTACCAAAACTCCCTGCAAATCTCCACCAGCATTACTGTTTGCTGGGAGACTTACCCATAAGCAGAACTTAAAATAGGTTCAACAAATTTAAGACAGGACTCTGTCCAGGTCAGATACAATGGATTTGGGGCAGACCAGATGCAAAATGCCAGACAAGCATTGCTAATATTAACTGGGAAGCCTGACCAAAAGCAGATCCAAGGACTTTTAAAGGCAGCACTTAGGAGACAAATCAGTTACTTAAAAGATTCTTTCTAATCAAATGCTTTATAGATTGTAGGAGATCAAATTGTTCTGGGTTGTCTGTGATAATTGCAGTCTCATGGGCTGCTCTCTCTTTTAGCAGAGGGAGACTAGTCCCAAGCTAACTGGTTTTGCACAGGGGATAGAACTCTTATCAAGAAAGGCTCAGAGATTCAACTCTATAAAAATGTTGTAACAATACACATGCAAAAACCAGGAATGTTTATCTTTGAGAAGAGCATGATCTTGACAGATTTATTTTCTTTCTTTGTCTTTCTTAGGCTTTCAAGGCAGTGCTCTGTTATTTTTGGTTTGGAAAAAAAAAACTTAAAGTAATGGATGTGTTGTCATATGCCCGTCATGCTACACTCAGGTGGCACAGCAAGATTATAAGTTTGAAGCCAGTTTGGGTACAGAATAAAATCCAGTCTTTAAAAATGAAAATATTTCAATACAATATTTTTATCTATGTCATTTCCCATAACTGTGAAAAGTGTAATTATCAAAACAAAAACATTTGACATTAAAATAACCTTTGCCATTCACTTGGAAGTAAAAAATGATGCCTACCTCTTTTCAAGTTGAAGATATGAGAATTTAGATAATGAGAAAGCCATTTACAGATTTCACAAATATCTTGTACAACAATCTGTAATGTTTTATTAGAATTAGCTATCAAAGACATTGTACCTTTCAAGTCTGTAACTGAATTTAATGATGTTCAACAGTGGCTTTATTACGATAATGCTTGACAATATTTAAGAGTGAATTCAATTACTTCACATTAATGTTTGCCAATACATTATTCACATCTTAAATATTTTAAATCAACCAACCTAGAAGTACACAAGGCTTGCTCTCAATTCTTCTGAGGGGACAGAAAGACTGAAAGAAGCCTAGGCCTGAGTCCAGTGTCTACCCCACAACAACTACATCATCACTGGTGAACTCATAGGTAGGCACTTCCAGGTTGAGAGGCGCAGGCCCCCTCCTGATCCTGCCAGAGGCATCATAGTGTGACCCATGGCATGGGCAATAATAGCCACCGAAATCTCCTGCGTTTGCAATGGGCACACAACCAAGATGAGTGCAGACACCTATCAGAATAACCCATTCAGGTTTCTTTACTCTCTCTAAATCATGCTGGGGATCCCTCAACTGGGACACTTCAACTGCAGCTTCCTGGGCAATCTCCTTCTGGGTTCTATGGCGCACAAACAGAGGTTTGCCTCTCCACTTGAAAGCCATGTTCTTTCCTTCTGGAATATCAGACAACTTGATCTCGATCTTCGACATGGCCAGTACATCAGCAGAAGCGCTCATGCTGGAAACGAACTGGGTGACCACATTCTTGGCAGCGTACGCAACGCCCACAGTAGCAGTTGCAGTTACCAGGTACGAGAAGCCTTTTCTAGCCTCACTGCTCTCTTTAGAAGACTTTGTGCTATCTAGAACATCAGCACGACGGTAATCAGAGAAGTCGGGCACCTTGACATCTGTATGGGAATAACGAACAAAAGCAGGAACTGCAAGACAAACAGGTGAAAACTACAATTAAAAGAATGTCCTGGAAGGCGTACATATCAGCAAAGACTTTTGAGTCATAATGACAAATGGCAAAATAAACAGATCTTTCAAATTTTTCTTTTTTAATCAACTGCTTAGACAGACTACCCATCTATGCTAATTACTTCTCATTCTCTCTAGAGTAGGTCTCAAAACTCACTAAGTCCACCTAACAATTCCTGTGTGGTCATCTCAAGGCAAATCTCTAGTCTGTATTTCTGTCATTTGCTCCCTGGAAAAATTACTAAAGTTCATAACATACTAATTACAACATAGTAACCCTCCTGTGACTTGGTAAACTTTAGTTGTAGAAAAATTAAGGACTGCTATTTTCAATTCCAGGGCATAAATTTTCAAATAAAGCCATTGGTAGCCAAAGAACAACAAACTTATCAGAATAGGCAATATTCAATGGAATCTACAAAATAATTATTCAATTTAATAAGGGGGAAGAGGGGCGATTTTCATATATCTCCCCTTCACCAGGATAACAGCATCTATAAAAAAAATAAAATAAAAAAATCTTTCTTTTCTATACTGTGGACCCTTTGAATGGGACACTTTTCTGTACGTTATAAAATGGGCCAAATGTCTGTGACAAATGAACAGACATTTAAAAATATTTACTGCTTATACATAGTGTGAAAGCAGCAGTAGCATGTCTTCCCTCCCGTGCCATTTCTACATCTCAGACAAAAACAATGAGCTTACTAACAAGCTTCTCTAACTATTGTTAAGAAAGTAAATTTCCTCACAAAAGATATACAGAGAGAATAAAAATCGGTCCTATAAATAGAAAATATGTATTCTCAAAAAATTTGATTTAAGACTGTAGTATACTTTTTAGGGAAAAAAGAATGTTGAAAATTATTCACTTTCAGAAAAATATATCCTTTCAAAATGCAGATCTACTCATGACACACAAGGCCACTGTAAGTGACAGTGCTATCTTGGTCTTGGAGGTTCTCATCGTAAGTCTCCTTAATCCCAAATATCAGTATTTCAACTACTTTTCACGTGACTTCAAATCAAGGAACTACAGAAGTCACAAATTTGAACAAGCAATGTCAAAATTACTTTTCTGACCACCCAATCCTTTTGGGGGTGGGGAAGAACTAAGACATGGGTAGTGGTAACCTAGGAGTCTCAATTAGGACTTTGCAAAATCACTTGACATATTATGTATTAGCTTACCTAATATCAAAGGGATGGTATAGAGTAACATTTGGAATCAAGTAAGAATCACTTCCCCATAACATCACACTAAAAAATGTGTTGTCTACCTCAAACATAAAGGAGCCAAATTCACAGCTCTGCATTCAACAGTATCCAACCTGACAATACAATACAAGGTAATTAAGAACACTACATAGAATGACTCATTCTGACAAAAGAAAAAAATCATATGGTGACAAAAGAAATCTAGTTATTGACTGTTCTGGGTCCAGAAAGTTATACTTCATTGGGTGACATCATTAACCAATGAAAATTTGGGAAACTGCCATGTTGCAAAAGTCATTCTCTTGTAATTTGCACAAAGCATATTAACCATGGGTGCTTAATTTAATTCTAACCTTAAGCATTATTACTATCAATTATGGGAATATGGCCTCGAAAATAAATAAAAGAAGTCTAAGGCATGTAGATTTGCAATTGTAGAGCCAATGTACCTAGAACTCTGCATGGAAAGTTTGCTACCATAATGCAAACTTACTCCTCCATGACTCTTCCAACCCAAACCCACCCACTTTGCCACCATCTATCTTTCCATAAGCCACCTTGATGGATTTTAAGTAGAAATTAAGCTACAAGGTAAATGTTTTCAGGAAAAGGGTTTGGCTGTTTTGACAGTCTGCTATGGAAAAAGCTTTTATGAAGCAGGTAATTCACCAGTCTTTATAAGAAACCTTTGGGCTATCTGACAAACTTGAGTGATTTTTTGTTTTGTTTTGCAATTCCTCCTCCCTCATTTCTCACCTCCCCATGCCCCAACTCAACAGAGCTGGAATAAGCTAAGGTATTACACTTCTGTCCTGAACACTTTCTCAAAGACCCACTAGTGTTCTTTCATATTTATTCAGAAAAAAAGATCTTGTACCAGCTTATACAAAACCTGACACTGGGAGACGAAAATTACTGAGCTTTTCTATTCCATTAAAGTCGAGGTCGGAAGTTTCAACAGCAGATGTCAAGTGCTAACATGTTTTAATGATGTAAGGGATTCAGCAATTGTAAAATGTTGAATCTGACCTGAAATTAAGATTAAAGGCTAAAATATAGCTATGCAAAAAAACACAATGCTGATCATTAAACCTGCAGGAAAGCTAAGCATGGTAGTTCATGCTCATAATCCCAGATTGGGGAAGGCAGAGGCAGGCAGATCTGAGGCCAGCCTAGGCTACACAGTGGGACTCTACCTCAAAAGGAAAGGAAAAGAAAAAAAAAAAAAAGGGGGGGGGGAGAAAAAGAGGGGTAGGGTGGGTGAACCGATGCAGAGTAAAATGTGGGCAATCCGATTAACACATAGAAAGGTCATAAACTCAACACTGAAGGGTGCCAAGTAGGTAACAACATAGTGAGGACTGTGAGATGAACCAGAATCATATGGAAGCAGAAACCAGAGCCCAGTGCAGCTTCCCATAATGTGGCATGCAGCAGAAATCGTTCTAGATTTTTAAATCACACACACACACAAATGTCAGACCAAGCATAGATTTAGGTAACTTGGACCATGCTGCAAAGAATCCCCTCTATGTGGCTCACTTCACTGCTGGTGGTCTGTTTTCTGTAACAGTAGCATCTACCTCTGCCTCTTCACAAGAGTAGCATCTACCTCTGCCTCTTTCACTAGCTAGGGCTTGTCAAAGTCCTAGCTAGAGGAGGCAGATACCTGAAATGCTGCTGACCCTCTACAGAGGAGCTGACCTAGGGGTTATGCCTTCCTTTCTCGTTCATGGAAAAATGGGGGAATGGGGGTGGTCTCTGGGGAGTAAAGACGCTGAAAGGCAGCTGCACTAGTACTCGAACTTCCTATGTGTTCTTTACCATTTCTGTTTCCAACACGTAATCGTCTAAACCCTACCAATGACTTTACATAGAATTCTCTCACGTAAGCCTCCCGACACCAAAATTGTTATAACCACGAATCCACCTCACCGGTGGGGGAAAACGTTTGGAAATGTGCCCAAGGTCAAGCTCCTGTAAGCCAACAGTGTCTGTCACTGAGCGGGAACAGTGAGAGGCTTAGTGTTGAAGTTAACTACGGAAGTCAAGTGTAGCCTGAGTGCAGACAAGTGCTTAGGCCTGGGAGGTGGAGGATGCAGCCGCCGGAGCATCCCAGAGGCATTGGGTCCTGGTGAGTGCGCCTGCTCGGAGAGGCGCCCAGGCTGTCAAGGTCGCTGAGGCCGGCACCGCATCTTCCCGCTCCGGCCGGGGACCCACATCCCAGCACACCGTCCTCCTCTACCGCCCCGGACCCGGAACGGCAGGGAACGAGATCGGGGCACCCCGAACCCAGCTCACCGTTGAGGCCCACCGTGGCGACCAAAGGCCGGGTCGCGGCCTGGCCACTCAGCGACTCTCGGGACAGGAAGGGTCGCTTCACGTCCAGAACAGGAGGCTCCGGGGTGGCGGGCACCGCGGCTTGCACCAGGGGCCGCAGCGCGCCCGCCACCCCGCGGGACGTGGCCGACAGGACGGGCGCGAATGGGCCCGAGCGGGCAGCGATCGACAACATGGCGACAGCCGCTCCAAACACCGAGCCGGTCACAGGGACGACCTTCCGCTCCTACGCAGGCCCGAAGAGGCGCGGAAGGCGCAGGGCCTGTGACGTCAGCGCGCCGCCGGAAAGGGAGTCCCGCAAGGATCCGCGAATCCGGAGGATCGCCGCTTAGGAGGCGTGGCTACGGGCGCTAGGTGGGGGCGGGACAGGAAAAGGCGGGGCCTGGCGCTGGCTCTCATTCGGTGTCTGGCTTGGTGACAGTGCCTCAAGAAAACACAAGCCTGGAGGAATTTCTCGTGGTGGTGACTGCGATCCTTCATTTAGGGCAAAAACTTAACCAGGGACGACCTAGGCACGAGAAAAAAATTATTACAGAATTAAGTACAAGCTCCTACTTCCTAACGTCTATTGCTTAGAATAAATACTTTTTTGTTTGTTTTGCTACAATTTTTATCATCTTACACCAGAAAAGCCAGAAAACTGTGTGCAAAGTTTGACAATGACAGTGGCTTCTGATTTTCCATTATATACTATTCTTTAGATTTGGAGGTTTTCTGCATTATGATCTCTTTGAAATGACACTAATGCTATCGCCATTTTACCAGTGAAGGCCGGCCCTTCTGGTATTTATTCCAAATAAATAAATAAATACCATGCTCAGGCATGGGTTGCCAGCAAGCAGTGGAGAATTGTAGTGCCCCGAACCACTTCTCTGAACTGGTTTTTGAACTAGTGCGTTTTCATAGTGATATTTCAGGTAGTACAAAGGGGTAACTCCTAATCACTTTCACATAGTGAGAAAATACTACCTTTTAACTTCTCTCAGCTCTGATCTTACCAATAACGAAGCCTCAGTTTGGTGCTAATCAACATTAACCCCTCCTTCACTTGATAATCTCCTCCTTTTGTAGTAGAATAAACCTTGACTTTAAGTTAATGCAAACAATTGAGTTTAGAGATACCATTCTGTCACAGGATGCAATTATCCATATAGATTTCTCTAATCTACTCCACAGTAAGATTCTTTGTTTACTCGTTTAGGGTTTTAAAGACAAGTTACATATAAACTATGAATTTAAGCAATGCATACTCTGGTATGATTATGATATGATGCTTGTATAAGCCAATATGTGGACAGTGCAGTCCTGGCAGCTTTCCAAACCTTGGCCCTGCAGTTTCCTCATAAAGTGGAGGAAGAATAGTAAGTTATCCACTTTTTTTTTTTTTTTTTTAATGGGAGGATAGAATGCCCCAAGCTACCCAGAGCCCATCTGTTGTCATGACAGGAGCAGCAATTCCTGTGAGTGTTCATTTCTGTTCTTCTCTAGGAGTGCAGCACACCAACCAGAAAGTTGTTGACAATGTTACTTCCTCAGAAACCATCTGATCTGCCTCACAACACCATCAGAGCAACCACCAAGGGCAACACATAGTTTGATTGCTTTAGATGAAATGATCCAGCTTACAACAGCCTGCTGCGCGTGATGAGCACATGTAGGTTGAATTAATAATGGATGAATGGGCCTTCCTGGGGGAGGGGGCCGACAATCTCCCAGTAGAACGACAGGCATGGGAATAGTTACCTCTAGACTCTCTGTGTTCAACCCATCTATCACTCACACTAACTACCTGGGGCAAATTCTGTGTGTGCTTCAGTCTTTCTTCTATAAAATGGGAATAATCCCATACACTCCAAAGAGTTATTGCGATGATTAAATGGGCTGTGCGAAACAATGGTCTTCACTTCGTGAGAGTACTGAAGACTCAGAGAAGGGAAAGCAAAGCAGCTTTGTTTATAACCATGCAAGGCCTGGAGTGGCAGACAAGTGCCACGGGCCACCCCAGCTGGGTATGGGGGTCCCTGGGATGAGGGTTCTCGAAGGCTAGATGGGTAAGAATTCTGCAGTGACAAACAGAAACAAACAGAAGCAGTTTGAATCTGAGTGTATTTTGCAGCTTTCAAGCAAGGCTTTTTATGCAGGATATAGAATAGTTTCTCAGAAATTGTATTCATTGAAGCAAATCCAGATAGAACAAATGACATCATCGTTGTTAGGTACAGTAACCTACAACTTATTCAAGGCTAATCACAACTAACCGCCCATTTTCTAAGATTAGATTAATAAATGTTTATGGTCAGTTATTGTTTAGCATTTGTTGCCTAGCTCTTGTGAATCTTTGAAATATTGAGCTATTTTGACTTTTTCTTATGAAAAGACTTTCTTTACCAAATGTTTAAACCGATTCTCATTACACATGTACAGCCATATGAAGTTTTGTTGTTGGGAAAGTTTTCATCAATACTATGTGTACTTACGTGAATGATTTCTCAGGGGGACGGTTTCTCCTTTGTATCTTTTGTTTAAAATGTCAGCATAGGCTTTCAGGAGCATTTTGATAATATGAGAAAAAGAATGGAGGAACAGAGGTTGTCAAGAGAACTACGGCTCAATACTTTTCTCCAGCCAAGAGTTCCGCAACCAGTTCCAGGAGACCTCCTTCTCTTGGAGTGATCGCCTCAGTCTGTGGAGCTTGTCACACAGAATCTACTGGATTTGGTGTGGCAGGCAAGCCAGTTGAGAACAGAGAACAGCAATATACACCCTGAATGTATAATCCTTCTTCCTCCTTTCAGGGTAACCAGGAAGGGGTCAATCCTATTACCATCTAGCTCTCATCTTTCCCTCTGTCATTTATAGTTGTCTCTTTTTTTCTAACAACAAAACATGTTCATGTTCATCTCTACATTTTAACATCCCGTTTATTTTAAAATTCATCAGATGCATGGCATGGCAGGCAAGCTTGACTGTGAGTTGGGGCAGGGTATCTTAGCATAGTTTGGGTGGGAAAGGATAGCTGAGAATTGCCTAAGCAAGCATTAGAACAGCTTTAGTGTGCTCTGTTCATTTCTAGATAGACGTAAGACATAGCTCAAGGGACCTTTGAAAATGCAACAGCATGTGTTCTCTCTAACAAGAACCAGGAGAAGCTTGACCTGGTGGTACATGTTGGTAATCTCAGCACTTGGGAAGCTGCAGCAGGCAGACTGAGAGCTCAAGACCAGCCTGGATAACACAGTGAAACACATCTTAATAAACAAACAAATAAATAAAAAAGCAAGCTTGGTGCAGGCACAGGCCTGTAATCACAGCACTTGACATACTGAGGCATGTGGGTCAGAAATCCAAGACCAGCCTGAGAACTTAATGGGATCTCATCTCAAATAAAAGGTAAGGACAGGGCTCATTGGCTTTTAAGTGAAAGGGTTGTTAGTATCCAAGCCTTAGTCTACCGCTTCCTTGAAGGCTAAGATTCCAACAACCTGATTCAAACTCCATTTATGATATGTGTGTCTTGGCAATGCAAAGCTTCACATTTTTCATCTATAAAACAGGCATTGAAATTGAGGGCTGGGATGTACAGCACATGTACGCCTGGGGTCCTGAGTTCAGTCTCTGCAGTGGGGGCAGAGATTGCTATGGGAATTGAAGGACCTAATGCATAGGAAATGCTTAGAAAAGGAGCTCAATAAATGTTTGCTGTAAAATAATAAAACTAGGATGTAGTGAGATAGTCCTTCTGTGGCACTGACCACGCCCATTGGGGGTGGAGCCATGGGCGGAAGTAACCTGTGGAAGGAGGTCGGAGGGGGCCAGGGAAGGTGCTCTCTTTCTGGCGTGACTCGGTCAGGAGAGGATTGGGTTGAATTTCCTGGTGTTCATCTGTCTAGGTTGTAAGTTATTTCTTCCTGAATAAACATCTATTCGGCCTATTTGTTTATCCTGATCCTTATTTACCGTGATACTAGGATGAAATTGAGAGAGGGAGGAAAAGAAGAGTAAGGAAGGAAGAGTTAAAGTGGCAGAAGAACATGATCAATATATGTTTTATAAATGTATGGAAGTGAGCCTGGGAGGATGGCTCAGCAGTTAAGAGCACTTACTGCTCTCACAGAGGATGTGTGTTTATTTCCCAGCACTTAACATGATGGCACACAAACACCTGTAACTCTAGTTCCAGGGAAACCCATACCATATCTGGTCTCTTCAGGCTCTTGAACACACATGATGCATGCACACATTACACAACGGTTTTTAAACCTTTAAAAATGTTTTGAGCTTTCAAAGAATAAGAAATAATAAATAAACACCTGTCATTAATTTTTTAAAGTAGGAGGGAAAAAATAGGCATAGGTCTGGGAACAAAACTGTTTTCCCAGCTCCTCAGTAACCAAGAAGTCTGTAAGGCATAGTATGCATATGAACAAAGGCAAGAGGCCGGAGCTGAATGTAAAGAAAAACAAAAAGCAAAGAAGCAAAAAAAACAACAACAGGTGGTTTGTATAAATTGGATGTCAGCATTCATAAACTGGAGAATTATTCTCTCCCCTCTCAGTACCGTGTAGACACCTGTTGAACTAACATTCATAGTGCTACAAACCTCAGAATTGTTTGTTAGTTTGCAAATTAACATACAGATAGATCAATAGGCCTCTCCCTAAGGTGCCTGCCTCTCAGTGTCTGGGACCTATGTAATATGCTACCTTCCACAGAAAAGAAATTCCAATCCGCAGAAGTGATTAAGACCTTGAGCCAAGGTGATAACCCTGTATTGGCAGGTGGACCTGTGTCATCACATGGTTCTTACAGGAGAGAAGTCGGAGGCCAGAGAGAGATGCGTGGCTGTCCTAATCATGCTTGGAGGAAAGGTTTCTGGACTGGGGATGCTGTAGTTGTTAAGATAGGAATAGAAAAATTTTCTGACCTTTGGAACTATAAAACAATCTATTTGTATTGTTTTAAGGCAGTATGATTGTTATAGCAGCAGTATAAAATTGCACAGAAGAGACCCGGCCATGTTAGATATGGGTCCTCACACAGAGGAACAATTATGGGTGTTCTTATCAAGGGAAGATGCTTGCTAGTCTGAGTCCTTTCTTATTGTTGTCACTCCATTTAATAATTTCCTATATTTCTGACTGAGGCTTCTGAGTATGGGGCCCATTGTCAAAAGCAGCAGAATGCAAAGAGGCATCAGCTGCCCTAGATCCAAGACTGTGAACTCTCTTCTGAAATGCTTTCATCTGGGT